AGCTTTGAAAGCTTTTGAACGTAGTGTTCTTGTAATGTAGCTTAGTTCTGTTGTTATTCCTCGGGTACCCCCCAGGAGGCCCGTCGCGCGGCAAGAAGGCAGAGTCGGCGGACGAGTTGCAGCGCGTGGTGTGCGATGTAGGACGTGCAATGGGACACTCTATTTAACTTGACGAAATCCCTATAGTACGCGCGCGACTCGTCCGCTGACTTTGCCTTCTTGCCGCGCGACGGGCCTCCTGGGGGGTACCCATTGCCCTCATTAGTGTTTGCTGACGTATTGAAACGAATCATAGGTCGTCTACAGCAATTACTTATGCCAGAAAAAGCTTACCGTAACGCCTTCACAACCGTCTCCGTCCCTTGTGCACAGACTGAGTTTACAGACGAATTTCAGCTGTTCTGCCTCTGTGAAGGCGAACGCTTTACTTTCCGCATAGGCAGTAAGGCTATCGTCTGAGTACTGTGGATCTGACAGCAGTGTCAAATCGGAGGAACAACTGAAAAGAAGTGCTTGAGTACTATGGAACAAGTATTAGGAAATTAGCGCATAAAATAGCCTAAGCTCGTACCCTCGGCTGTCCACGATCGGGAACCTTTTGTCGACATCATCACTAGCGAAACAGCTATGAATTTGGATACCGTAAACGTTGTTCGCCTCTGCAACAGGTCTTCAATTAGTACCACATTCCACCATCATTCACTATCTGCGTTGTGCTCGGTCGGGTTCACTGACACCTCGCTCAAAGCCGTGAACATAGGCTGGATGTTGTAAATTACACGAGCGATGCCCAACAGCAACCTCTTCTGCGCCAAATTATTTCGGCTCGGCTCAGGACAGAGCATTCGACGTTGTGGGATGCGCCACCCATTATACTTCCATTCAAAACCGTGGCAATTTGAATGGGCTCCACCTATTAAATGACTTGCAATGACCGAGCCTATGTACAAGTCAGTGTTTTTCAGTGTTTTTTATACCAGACAAGTCTGGTATCAGTTTACCGACCCCGCAGGGATGGACGGTTTGGCTAGCCCGGACGACATACGATCAGGGTCAAACCTTCCTTCCGTTGGTACTTCATGAAATTTTTTACGACCCAGCTCCTTTTCGGAAGCCTAGATACGGCTCCCTCTGTCAACGTGGGTGTATGGAAACAATAATATTACACATGAGTGGGGGAGAAACGCCGGGGCGCGTGAATATTTCCCATTTTCGCCGGTGATGCTATACGAAATTTTTACCAAATTACCACTTCAAGCGGTGATGGTGTGGTGACAAGAGGGGCCACTACCGCGCGCATAGTCCCTGGATCCAAATCCCAGTCAAATCCAGCGCACGTCAGCCAAATTTCTATAGATGGTTAGTTGTTGAAAGAAGCGACAGTTACCACATGAAACACACAACGAAGACCTAATTTTAAATTGCAGTAGTCTAAGGGTTGAAGGCAGAAACGATGACTCGAAAGGCGGAGGCGATTCGGAGGCGTCACTGGTGTCGAGCACGTCGAGAACGTCCGGTCCTTCTCCCTCCTCCTTCATAAAAGCGTGCTACCATCGACCACCTTCCACCAATAACTTATCTAAATCGACCCGTTGTTCCAGCCAACGTGTTCACTAGCCTCTATGGCTACCTTTTCAGAGAAAGTTTTAGTTTTTTGCCGCTTTCACCTGGTGGACTTCGTAAAGCGCTCCGCCCACAAAAAAGCGATCCGCGCCCCTAGTCCTACTTGTTGATTTTGGGACGAGCTGCGCTACCAGCGGCGGCACAAATGGAGCAACTCAGTTAAAGCGTGATCTAGCAATGGTGCCATCAAACCGCGTTGCGGTGAACTCGTTCATACGTTAACTTCCCTAGCTGTAACCTTATGAGTGGAAACCAGCGGCCGATAAAGTGGGTCCCCTTTGGCATTCTCTTGACGATTTTTCTGCTTTCTTCGCTGCTGGGGTATCACTGAGCATCAGCACGTTACATCAAACCCTTTTTAGCTTTATCGTAGCCGCTGCCTTTAAAGGCTTACCACAAAAGAAACACAAGAGAAACTGCCCAATCGCCAAATGTCTATGCTAAATCAAAGAAAACAGTCATGATTCGTAATGAGCTCTTCCCTAGAGGTATGCCCGTCTTCTACATAAGCGATGGCAGGACCAGTTTTCTTTTACCTGCTGCGACATTTTTTATGACAAACATAGGAGGTTCATAGTAATCATAAAAACATGCCTTCTCCTCCATCGCATTCCCATCGATGATATACAGTCTCACGCCGACGAATGCTGTTTTCACAATGGTGCCATTGGGCGAATCTTTTCCGGATCGAGTAGGCACATGTCGGCGGTACCGTCAACAACGAGATCGTCTCGGCAATCATCAGCTCTCTGGAAAAAAAGTTGAAGACAAATGTACATCAGTTAGTTTCCTTTCAAACNCAAATCATTATAGAGCTTCTCTGTGCTGTGGTAGTA